CGTGGGCGCCGTCCGAGGCGGCGCCGGCGAGCTCTGCTGTGTAGTGGCGCCAGCGCCCAGCGTCCCTGCAGAGCGGCCGCGACACGCATCGTCCGACGGTCGCACCAGGCCGAGGGCGAGCCACTCCTGCAGCGCCTCACGGCGCTGCGGCTAGGCAGCCACGCGCCGCACCGAGGACGTGCGGCCGGCAGGCCCCGCGCGCGCCCCCGGGAGTTCGGTTCAACTGGGCTACCCTTGCCCCACCAGAACGGATTGCAGGGGCGTAAGTCGGGCGCTCACGCCCCGCGCCGCGCGATGCAACCGGATGCAATCTGCCGCGTGCCGCGGCCGCGCGCCCTCGCCCACCTGCCCGCCGCAGCCACCAGCTGGCGTATCGCGCCGACCGCCGCCGCGGGCCCCGCGTCGGCCGGCAGGGCCAGCAGCGACGAGAGGGATCTGAACAGATTCGATAGCTCCGAGTGGGAGACGTAGAGGCGGTTGAGGGCGGGGATGACGCCCTGTGTCGGTGATGTGGGTGGGAGGGGGGGGGCAATGGGAGAGGGAAGGCGAGGCGGGAGGAGGGTTCTTGGCTGAGAGCCAGTGCGCCGCGCGGCTCAAGTGCATAGCCGAGTGCCACGCACCACACCGTAAACGACAAACCCACCGCACTGTGGGGCCCAGGTCCCACCCGCGCCACAGCTGGACATTCACCACACTGGGGGGCGACAGAACCACCACGGCAAAGCCAACTGTGTCGTCAATACTGTGGACAGACAAGGCCCCACCACGCCATGAATGACTGACAGCCGCCCCCACCTCGAGGTCGGGGCAGTCCAGCAGCTTCTGCGCGTGGCCCAGAAGCTTCTGCAGCAGGCCCTCTGGACGGTCCGCCATCAGCCCCTCTGCGGCCGCCAGCACCTCGTGTGCGGCCATGGCGGACGCCTCGGCTGACACCTGGCGCGAGGGGATTGAGCCAGATCGGATCGGATCGGCTTGGATAAGATGTGACGGGATTGGATTGAATTGTCACAGCGAGAGGGGTGCAGCACAGCGAGAGGGGCGGCCGGGTCGGGCGCGGCCGTGGGCGTCTCAACGCAAGCGCTGTGCGAGGGGCGTGAGCAGGCGCGCATTTTCTCGGCGGCGTCTGGCAGGGGCTAAGCGAGGCCGATACGAGTGCTGCAAGTGCGGACGAGGGCGCTGCTCCAGATCGGGCCAGATCGCAGGTACAGACCAAGCAGGACCATCTTGCTGCCGCCTCCCAATGGCCCCACCACCCACCAGTTCCTCAACCTCCGCCACCAGCTGCCGCCCGCCCGCCAGAACCTCCGCCGCCCCCGCCTCCCAATCCGTTTGAGATCCGTCACCATTCGCCCCCGCCGCCGAGGCTCCCGTCACTGCGCCGCCGCCGCCGCCGCTGCGCGCCGCTAGCGCGCCGCGCAGGCGCAGCAGCAGCGCCCGCATCTCGTCGCCCTGCCGCAGGCCGCGCAGCCAGGCCGCCAGCGCGCGCGGCGCGGCGCCCGGGTTGACGCCGCCGGGGGCACGCGTGAGCTCTTTGGGGCAGAAGGCCACGCCGGACCTGAACACGAGGCCGCACACCTGAGATGTGTGCATGCGGGCGGGGAGAAGGAGATTGCATGTGGTTGTATATTGAGCAGTCGTCGGGACTGTTCAAAGTTTCTCAAGGCGTGATGTGATTTGCCCTTGATTCCAAGATCTCGAGAGGGGGGCTGGGTCCCGCAAGGGGCGGCGCGACGGCCCGCCGCGAGCTGCAGGGACGTTGGGGTTTAGCGCCGCCGGGGCGCCGGGCCGCGCAGGCGCGCGGCCGGGAGGGGTCGGCGCAGCCGGCAGCGCCGCGGGGCGCGTCGTCGGCGGCGAGGGGGTGGGGCTCAATCTCGGGTGCCGAGCTTTGCAGATAATTTGCTGGGCCAAGAGCTTCGCCCTGCAGCACGGTGCACACATGCCCTACCCATACCCCCCCCCCCAACCCACAAACACACACACAGACATACAACAAGTGCTTGCAGCCTGCACCCATGCATGCAGCCACACTCACAACCGCGCACCTCTGCCACGAAGGCCTCGAGCTGAGGCACCGCGCTGAGGACCGACACCACACGCCTCAGCTTGGACGACAGCTGGGCCGGGTCCGGCAGCTCCAGCGCGATGCAGGCGCCCTACTCGTGTGTGTGTGTGTGTGTGTGTGTGTGTGTGTGTGTGTGCGTGTGTGTTTGTGTGTGTTTGTGTGTGTGTGTGTGTATGTGTGTGTGTGTGTGCGCGCGCGCGCGTGCGTGCGCAAAGTTGACGCGCGATGAGCATGTTGTGCTCATCGACTCTGCATGTGTGTCGCGATCGATGCTGCCATGGGCATGCGATTCCGATTCCGAGAGTGATCGCCGTCGCCCCCCCCCTCCCCCCCCACACACAAACAGCACGCGTGCGTCCGCACACATACCCTGACACACACACGCGCACACACAAACACACACACAATCGCAAGTTCACCTGCACTGCGTCGACCAGCAGCTCTCGGGGCATCTCAGCCACCAGCCCCAGCCCCAGCCGCGCCACCGCCTTGTCGCGCTCCATCTGGGCCCGCGCGCCCCGCGCCCCTGCAAGGACGCGCATGTGCACGTGCATTGTTGCGTTGCCGTGCGTTCAGTAGGGCCAGTCGGGGCGAAGTGACGCTTGGCTGTGGCGACGCGTTGGGACGATCAAGTGTAAATATATATAATCAGTGAGAGGGGCGTCGCGCTTGCGGGCGAGCTCGGACCGCGTGCGCGCGCCTCACCCGGGCCGCCGCCGGCCGCGAGCGCCTCGAGCGCCGCGTCGCCCTCCTCTGCCTCCGCGCCCGCGCCGGCCGCGCCCCTGCGCCGCCAGTGCGCCAGCTTGCGCTCAAGCTGGTCCACCTCGCGCCGCAGACGCCTGGCGCCGACGGTTTGCCGCCACAATAACAAATTCGAACGCGACAGTGTTGCGCGGCAAGGGGTTTAAGTTGGGTCGATGCAATGTGCGGGCCGCTGCTGTTTGTTGCTGCGGCGCCAGGCAGGTCCCTAGAGCAGGCCGCCTCAACGTGTCGCAGCCCGCTCTGCGGACGAGAAGCGCAGCCCGCCCCGTGCACACCCGTCCCACCCCCCCACACCTTTCCATTACGCCCCGCCCCACGC